CCTGCGGCACTCCCTCCACCCCAACGCGCAGCACCTCCGCAAGCCGGTCCATCGCCTCCGCATCCCCACATCGCTGCAAGCATTTCTCGTACAAATTCACGGCCGCCTTCTTGTCCACCAGCACGCCCCCCGCCCCCGTCTCGAACAGCTTCCCCAGCGGCACCATGGCCTCAACACTCCCGCCGCGCACGGCCCTTCTCAGCAGCCTCGCCGCTCGTGCGACGCTTGCGCCGTGCCTGTCCTTGCTAAGCAGCTGCGCCGCGACCTTTGCCATGGCGTCTGCGTGGCCTTGTCTCGCCGCCTGCTTGTACAGGCTCTCCACACGTGCGTCCTCGCCGCCGTTCTGCTCGAGCTGGACCGCTATGGCGTGGCGCGCGGCCGCGCAGCCGGTGCGCGCCGCCATCTCAAGCCAGGTTCGCGCGGGGGCCTCCGCGCCGTTGGCGGCGTGCAGGGCGGCCAGGGCGAGCATGGCGGGGGCGCAACCGCGCTCGCGCGCCGCACGGGCGTACCAATGGCGGGCGCGGAGGAGGTGGCCGCGCGAGCGGGCGATGGCGGCCAGACGCAGAATGGCACGCGGGAGGCCGGCTTGGGCGGCGTGGAGGAGGAGGCGGTCGGCGAGCGGCGGCGGGGCGCGGAGGCGGAGGAGGTGGCAAGCGAGTACATAGGAGGAGACCGGGTTTCCCGCGCGCGCGAGCGCGCGGTGGTAGAGGAGACGGAGACGGCGCGGCGCCGAGAGGATGAGGCGGAGCATGGTGCGGCGCGGTGGGCGGGGGAAGGCGGTGGGGATGGAAGCAAACAGGGGCCGTATACAAGTTTGTAGGCGAGGAGCTGGGTTGTGCGCGTAGGCGGATGGCGAGGGCGACAACGTGCAAGTGTAAGGAGGAGGTGTAAGCATCGAGAGTTTCTGCGCACGTGGACACGTTGTACACGTTTTTGACCATTGTCTACAGCACATACTGTATCACTGCTGTCGAAGCGATGTGATTGTTTACAGAGTAAAGTCTCGATATCGTGAACCGAAATGTGGCGCTTCCGACTCGGAAGCGACACCTTACCCAGGTAGCAAGGTAAGTTCGCCTTACCGAGGCAGTTCACGGCGGCGGAACAGCTCGTGTACACGTGTACCCGTTTTACGGGTACAGTGAATCCTCGCTAACTGCATATGAAAAGTGTGAGGGTTTTCGTATGCACTTGTCGAAGTGTCCAAACGCCTCAATGTTATTCAAAAATCAGATATCCGCGTCCGACGGTGGTGATGAAGCACGTGATGAAGCACCGATGGCGGTCCGAAGCACTGCATACTTGTATCTGTTATAATAGTAAGCCTTTGTATGAGGGTTCGATATGATTAAGGATCACTTTCTTCATGCAGTTATGCGGTATGCAGTTCAATATCATGCTGGAATCGCCGCTCCGCAGCCGGTAGCTGACGAACGCATGCAGTAATCGAGAATATGCAGAAACCGAGCATGCAGTTAGCGAGGATCCACTGTACCAAGGGTGCTGTACCGAGACAGTTCATCATATCAGGTACGCTTAGCTTATCGAGACTTTACTCTGTAACACGAGATTTGCGGCACAAGAAGCTTCCCTTTGTGGATTCCATGCGTGCAGATTAACACGCGGCATTGGGCAGAGGAAGGCGGGACAGTAGAACGATCAGAGGATGCGAGGGGTGAGGAAGGTGACCAGTCGGCCGGAAGAGGATTTGACGGGGCCTGTGGGGGCAAGGGATGTAACACGGCGGAGGGGGCAATAGATGCGGGAGCCGGAGGCGTGGGTTCGAGAGCAGGGCGGGAAGCCGGGCCGGGCCGGGGGGCTGCAGCAGCATATGAGAGCTTGCTGGGTATGCAAGTTGTAGGGAACGCAACGGCAGCAGAGGTGGACAGACAAGGCATTGGAGAGCGGGGTGAAGGCTGGGACAGAAGGGCGTGGGCGTGAGCCCTGAGGGTCGTCGCAAGTGCGACGCGAACAGGCATAGGTACGGCGGTAGGGGGTGCGGCGGTTCAGGAGGTGGGCAGCCTCGCGGGTGAGGCGGTAGGCGACGCCAGCAGCAGCAGCGGAGGGATCAAATGCGCAGGCGGCAGCTGGGGTAGGAGCATTTGTGATGGCAAGGTCTTCATGAACCAGCTTGGTATGAGCGGGTATGCGGGGGAAAGTAGGGGTGGCTGCGGCGAGGAAATAAGCGTGCGTCCACCGTTCGACGCCTGGGATGAGGCCATGAGGGGGGCGCACGACTGCCGCGAGCTGTGCTCCTTGTCGGAGTGCGGATTGCGCCGCTTCGAAGGACGGGCACGCGCACGCGGCTGAGTGAGCATCCGGGGCGAGACCGTACGCGGTGACGGCGGGGGGCGGAACAACGGGCTCTCCGGCGCGGGGGTCGAGGATCGGGTTGCCATCTGTATGACACCAACAGTGCGGGCAAGAGAGCGGGGGGCTCGAGTTGAGACTGGCAGGGGCAGCGAGTGCGGCGCGTGCAGCAGCGAGGGTGAGGGCGGAAATTCCAGGGCGGAAATTCCAGGGCGGAAATTCCCGGACACGTGGCAATTGGAGGGGGCAAGGCGCGACAGACGGAGAAGCGGGAAGATAAAGGCAATTGGACGAAATTGGGAGGCACTGCGACGCGCGCGGCATGTGGATGGACAGCAGGGCGGATGGGGCGAGGAGTAGGACGGGGGTGGCGGCTGCGACGGGCGCACATGGTCGCGTGGGCGGGGGGACCGTGAGGGAGTGGATTTGCGGCGGGCGTCTTGGGGTGGAGCGCGGCTCGGGGTACCGTGCGGGCCACGTGCCGTCGTGGTGACGTTTCGTACCTGACCCTTGTCGGCGGGGCGGCGTACGTGGCGGTCCTTACACCGGGCAAGCGCACTGTGCGTAAGTCGTAGGGTGTCCTGTAGAACGACGCTTAGCGCACGTCGCGCGCGCGTTCCACCGTTGCCTGGAGGTGGCTTGTAGAGCCTTCGCCCTTCGCTCCCCGAACCCTCACCAGCACCGCCGCTGGTACCCTTCAAGGGTAGTCAAACTCCCGCTCTACTTCGCGCGAGTAGAAGGTTTAGCATTTCGGTCATATAATTTGGGTCAAAATGCGAAAATCACACCGTACAGACCAGGGCACCATAAAGTTACATCGTAAGTCTGGAAAGCCTAGGGAGAAGGCAACAGTTAAAAGCAGACATTGCCTTGCCATTGATCGGAGCGAATTTGCCTTGTAGAGTATAATAGACGCATATTTCAGTGAAGCACACGCAAAAAAGAGGGTTGGTCACATTTTACATCGATGTAAAATGTGACTAACCCCAAAAAAGAGTAAGGTACTGTACGAAAAAGACGCGTCCTCTCCCTTATGAAGATATTCTCGCTACAAGAATAAGGAACCAGGGCCCTAGCCAGCAGTGCTGTATGCAAGCATATACAGGCTGTACAAGTATGCATGCTCATATCGAGAAACTGTTCAACATTTGGCCGCTCGGTTTTTATGTGACAACTCAGGGATGTGCCCTTTGGCGACCCTCGCTCCAATCAAAGCCCACGAAATCACTCACCGGAGATATCACCATACCTTCGCACACTTACTTTACTTCTCTGGGGCATTACCGGCTCGTTCTGGTCCTGTGCTAGCTAGGCACGCGTGTATTGCTTTCATCATTTTGAAACCATTCGCTAACGGGAAACTATTCCCACACGGCCGCTCTGTTTTTGTGACAACTCAGGAATGTGCCCTTTGGCGACCCTCGCTCCAATCAAAGCTCACGATCACTCATGCGAGATCACAATACCGTCGCACACTCCTCTGGGGCAATTACTGCCTCGTACGGGTCCTGTGCTAGGTATGTATCCCTCCCATCATTTTGAAACCCACTCGCTAAACACATCTGAATCCTATCGCCCGCAAAATAAATTTACTTGTCGAAGTGCACGGCCCTCGCTACTTTGTCGACAACTCAAAAAAAAAGTTAAACAGCATGTTCATGCGTTATGTAGGGCAGAAACTGAGAATACTGTAAGTAAAGCATGGTTGGTGATGTTTCTCACCTACAAAGTCGTCTCAAAAGGTAGTCACACCAGTCTCTACAGGCACCAACCAATCGCGAGAACGTAACGATGAAAACCACAGGCCAGATATTGGTGTCAAACTTATTCCTGGGAATAAGTTTGACACCAATATCTGGTTGTGATGGGACCATCACAGTGACCACCCGGGGTACCGGTACCCTCAGTAACGAATGAGTAGCTTGTGTTTAACACATGCCAATCTTCGCTACGTACGATGTGAATGAACATACTCTCCCCCTTTACAGTACAACAATTTTCTTTATTCAAAATGTGTGAACTGGAGACCGATGACTCCTCGTTTACTCGTCGTCGCTCGTGGGTTAAGTCTGTCCTGTATAGGACAGGCTGTCCTGTGCGGTCTGACACTACAAAATGGCTATTGGCGAATGTGATTGTGCGGTCAGACAGTCCCCGGGTTCGCCAATAGGGGTTTTGGGGCGACGATGCTAAGGTTACGGAGGAGGTGCCGTGTACGTTGGGGTCCGAGTGGTTTGGTGAAGTAGTCGGCTAGGTTTTCCAAAATACGAAAATCCGCCGAGGTAGAACGGCCTACCCGGCGGATTTTCTCCCTGTATAGCTCTCCCTGCACAACTTTAGCTTTATATCTATGTAAAAATATACAGATATTGTTTCTGAATAAATAAAGAGGCTAATCACTGCCGACCGACAAGCAAAACCCTATGGTATACAAATGTACAGGACTGCACTGGATAAGTGCCAGCAAGTAGAAAGGTAAAAAGGTAAAAACCTATGTTATACAAATGTGCAAGACTGGATAAGTGCCAGGTAGAAAGGCCCTCACCCTTTATATCGCCTCATATGCAGATGACATCCACGACTGCACCATCCTTTCGCAGCCGTATATAAATTACCGACGCAACGCCTACCGACAACACAGCCTCCATTCACTCACCGGCTCCAAATCTTCTCTCTGAACACGCACCTCCATGTCGGACCTGACGTCGCTCCCTGAACCACAAGCTTTCGTGGATGATGCGAACCTCTATCTGCAATCGCTCTCCGTGCAACATGACTCCAATCTCTCCGCCGGCGCCGACCTTGACGTCCTGCACACAACTCGACTTGCCCGCACCATCCGACGCGCCACGCTCATATATGCCGCCTCCTTTGACATCATTCCCGCCGTCGCTCAACGCGAATCTCATCAAGGCAACAATACCGCAAACTATCTGCGCGGGCTCATCTCACGTCTCTCGACAGCTCTAAAGGACAGGAACGATGCCGAGTTGGAAACACTGGTTGACGCCGCGACGGCCGAACTAGATGCATGTAAAGAAGGAGAGCAAGGTATCTTTACAACCCTGCAAGTCGTCACTGTCTCCAAAGGTTCCGGAGCGGAGCTTGATTGGCTTTCAGATATCCCGAACGACCCCGATGCTGAGAATTCAGTGTCCGATGCAGTTGTTGTACAAGATTCTTCGGAAAATGCACTTGCACTTCCGAGTCTACACAACAAGAATAGGGCCAAAAGGAACTCAGGGGGGTTTAGAAGTTCTCTGCAACTCAAGAGAGATGCTTCTGGGCCGTCTATGACAATCTTGACTTCCGGGCAGACCCCCCCAAGAGGAGGCCAAAGGAAGCAAAAATATCCTTCTTGCTTTGCGACCTACGGCAACCTCAGTTCCAAGGAAAAGCTCCTACTATGGGTTTACATCCTGTTGCTGCTAGCGTCTGTCATTCCCATTGCAGTTGTCACGGTTGACTTCACAAAGAAACAAATCAACCCAGAGTCCTTTATTCGCACCCAAGTCAGCGACAGTTTGCCAGCTCCTGTTGTGACGATTTGTCTATCGCAGCGCGGAATACCCTTCAGTCGTTTACAACTGTACAATTTTACCGACGCGCAAGGCGTCAACTTCCGTGGGGCAGACCCTAAAGGGCCACAGACAGACAGACAAAGTCCTGAGTTCGAGGCTGTTGTTGATCGATTTTGGGACAACCCTGGCAATGAGGATTGCAATAAGACTGTAGGGGACTTCTATCCTTTTCCGCTTGAGTCTTTGAATCAGCTCACTTCGGGCGAGAAAAACTCGCAATGTAGGCCTTGCTACCGCGTTGGTCGCAAGACCGTCATGGCAACTTCCACAGATTTCCGAGACAGTTCCATACTCGACCTGTACACAGACAATTACTTTCTGCAATGCATGAAGAGTATTAACACGTTGGATAACAGATCGCTCACATTCTGGCATGGGCAACTCAACGAAAAGAAAAAGAAGATGGAGGAGCTTGGTGTTCTGTCTTCGCAGGTAGATAATGTCAAAGTTGCTGACCTGGAGCTTGAACAGTTTGAGAAAATCGACTCTGAGCAAGGATGCAATATCTTCTACTTTGGCTTCTTTCCGAAATTGCTGAATACTGGGACTGGAGGTGTAGATATTAAATATGCCTGGGACGGAAGTACCTGGAATCCAGTGGGCAAAGGGCCGTACTTTAAACTGAAAACGACGGAAGACTTGCTGCCGGAGGAGTCCCTGCAAATGTTTGTAGGCCGAAACGTGTCAACGGAAGAAAACAAAGTGGGTGAGAACTTAGACATGCTTCTCCTCGGGCCCAACACGCAGACGTATGCTAGTTTTCAGCCGGTAATAGACTACGATGGAGAGCGATTCGACATAAGCAGTTCGACAACGAACCTACGGCAGGATGAAGTGACACCGATATTCGGCTATTGGCTCGTGTACCGTGTGTATTACAATTTCAACCGCTTTGTTGTAGAAGAACATTACTTGGACTCGACTTATCCCGCTGGTCAGTGGTTTGTTGATGTGAGTGGGTACGCATCATTATTTACAGGGGCCAGTCTGCTTTCGTTGATTTTCTTTCCGCTGTGGCGGGCACGGCAGAGGAGAGAGGACCGGAGACTAATGCATGAGCGACCGGAGGCCTATTATTGGTCAGAGCACAAGAAAAGACATCTAACCACCACGCCAGATATGGACCGAGAGCCCCATCGATCTAGAGCGTTGTTCATGGAACACGTCAAGACTGGTCGGTAATACGACGCCACTCGGTTTTCTCTCACTAACCAGAGGTCTCCAGATAATACATTCTCCCGCACATGTTATGGTCTTGGAATAGATAAGAAAACGGAGTCCTTAGTGGCTATCATCACTCGGTATAGCAACCCTTTGCAGCAGTAAATCTCCTATTCAAGTAATATTTAAATAAGTTATTGTGGTGAGAAGGGGAGGAGTCCAAGAGCCGTATTCCATTGTTGGTATGCTCACACTGGTCCTCTTTGACAAGAGAGTTGTCCAAGTGGCTCACCTCAGCGACATTAGAGAGACTCTTTAAAATCGATTAGTTGGTATGCAGAAAGCTTTGCCGGTAGGGTTCACGAAAGGGCGAATTGCATATTTCTTTGAACGTCAGATGGATTCTTGTTGCCTGATTTTACGATGCGGACTGCTTAAAGAGACAAGTTGAAGCCTATATACGCAAGTTTTCTATAGATGAGTGTCGTATGATACACGAATGTACAGCCTCCAGGCAGTATTGAAGACTGTCACCGCTCTGCCCTCAGTAAAACCCAAAGCATCTCCTTTTTCTCTCACAATTTAGAAGCGATGAAATTGACAATCTGTCACTGCGCACCTATCCTATGTGTTCGGCGTAGTGGGAATTTAGCCCCAGCAGAAAAGGGGGTATACCAGAAGTAGACTGCACAGTAACCGCTCCGACACCCACTGCCTCTGACTATTGTACAGTTGTGATAAGTGGCAACTGTGTAAGACCGGATAGGCGCAGAGCAGAGCGCAGGGAAGGACTAAAAACAGAATTGACGTCAGCACAGATGCAAAGACCGATGCATGATATGCCTTTAGTAACCCATAAAGAGGCCGGGATCTCTGCTCGCAGGGAAAAACCGCGCCATCGATCAACACCGAAGAGTTTCAGCGCTCTCTCGCACCAATTGCTCGCCGGGAGTCTCACCTGATCCCCGTTTCTCGTCTCCGGCGAGTTGCTAGGCCTGCGGCTGGGCGCAGGAGGGCGTCGGATTTGGCTACCGAGATTGTTGTACTGTGGAGTCCTAAAGGGGGGGCACGCAAAGATGGGACAAAAACTGCCAATTAGCATCATAACTCTGCTTCGCAAACACTCTAGGAACTCATTTCACTATCAATCAACCTGTCACGCCGTTACCAATGAGACCTCTGCGCGTGGCGAGAATCCTGTAAACAGTACCGTCACAAGGGGACTAAACGTGCATTGGAACTGTTATGGACAAATGGAGAGGAAATTCTCAGAAAGATCGGACAACCCCAAAAATTGGCCCAATAATTTGCCTTCATTTCAACTAAACCGACTTTGCCACGTCACTTCGGTTCATCCCAATATTCTGCGAAACGAGCTCAAAGTTTGAGCTCGTTTCGCAGAATATTGGGAGTATACGTAGTACCGTACTACGTATACTCTCCGTTGCAGTGGAAAAAAGGGGAACTGTATGTTGCTGATAGAGACGACGACGGAGTGTAGAGTCAAGCTTCCTTGTCTTTTATTCTCGGGGCTCGCCGGCGTCGTCGGCGGCTATATATGCTCCTTGGGAGTGATTGTTATGATACGGTTTTCTATATTACGACACGGAGAGCTCTCAAAATACCGTCAAAATTTGCGCACAGGCTTTTGTGAATTACCAATGTTTCTGCCGTTTTGAGACGGTGGCCCACCCCTCTCTTTGAGATTGTCATGATTCCCATGCACAGCTCACACACCTGTACCACGCACACACGTAGCACAGATGTATCGCCCAGGCAGCGCCGCCGCCAACGGCGCCGCTCCCCTTCTTAGTCTAGTCGCACACGGTCCGTCTCCCTCAGTAAACTCGGGCATCGTTCCTTGCACCACAGAGATTTCACGAAAATCATCTCTAAGTCATAGTGACGGAAATCTTTCTACAATTAGGCACAGGGATAAAGGATGCAAACGCGGCTGAATGACTGTTTGGAGCGCCGCTGCCGCGCTGCCAGGCCGTCGGTACAGCAATGCCGCCATTTTGGGCTGCCGACGACGCCCCTTCAGCCGCATTGCTGCCCGCCTCCATCTGCCGCCCGCCCGCCCGCCGCCAGCCTCCCTGCCGCCCTGCCGAGCCGCCGTGGGGCCGCCAATGCCGGTGAGCAATGCGCTGTCGAGGCGTCCCCCGCACATCCTTGCCCGCGCCGCGCAGCGGCATGTACGGGGGGCGCAGCGTCACAGGGGTTCGTCTGCGCGTGCGTGCGGGGCGTGCTGCGCGACGTCACGAGCGAGCCTTGCTTGCATGCCGCATCCCCTCCCTCCTCGTTCGAGGGGCGCGCGCTTTCTACAGTACTCTCCAAACGCTCGGAATACCACTCGCCTCTCTCGTGCTCACACGGCCCGTCCGCCCTCCGCGAAACGAGAGGTACCTATCGTGCCAGCCTGAATGGACCTGGCCGGCCGGCGTGATGCCTGTCGGAAGATACCCCGAAAATACGCCGATAGCGATGCATCGCCGCGTGCACCGTAGTCGCCATACAGCAGTCCGGCGCCCAGGGGGACGACGGCGCTGCCCCCCAGGAAACTGCTTCCATCTTTGCCCGCTTTCTAAGAGCAACCCCACCGCGCACATCTATTTGATCAATAGAATTTCCGCTCACGACAACATCATCAGTTGCTCAGCCCTGACCATCGTCTGACACTTGATGTGTAATGCAAAGAGGAGCAACTATTTTGTGCACGGAGATGGTTGTTGTCATGTGTGACTCATGTCCAAGTGGCAATGTTCCCATCGCAGAAAGCGGCATCTGACATGTAGGTAAAAAATTAGCAGAACCATGGCAACCTACCGTACGGAAAAGGACGGTGCACTTTGCACTGTTAAGTTACGATCCTCTCCATATTAATTTATGATCGCATGGTTAACTTATTTCTAACAGGTACATTACATCGGAGTACACGTGGGTCTGAGTATTTCATGATGAAGTTGCCATAAAAGGCACCGATATTCCACAGAAAGGCAGCAAGCATCGTTTTCTGATAGCCTTAGACTGCATGTGCGGAATTATGGTATGGAAACAAGACGTTTTTGTCTGAACAGGCATTGATACCGGTTCTCATCGCTTTTATTTGAAACTAAAAGGGGGTACATCGCGATGCCCACACATACTGCCAACTAAAGATACCCTTTGCGGGTTTAAGAGCAACTACACTTCATGAAAGGGACTTGGAATTGTTTTGCGATGTATTGGCCTTGAGACTGAAACAGCTGTCGTCGACTTCGGGACTAACAAAGAATTTGATAATCCCATTGTGGCCCCGTGAGTCCAATCTAACAACTGTACTCCAGGTAGTGCGGGTAGCTCAGCAAGCAGTCCTACTAGCAGCACCACCATCCGTGGTGGTGGCAACCATAGACATGACAATATTTGTAATAGGGATACTTGCTGCATTGATATTTAGCATATGCAATATCTTTGTAGCACGTGCACGGACATGAGACAGCTCGTTCTGCAACTTCCATGTCTTCCGCAGCATCTTGTTGAATGGAGATGTCTTCCTCGACCCGCTTGTCATTCACTGCAAAGGCGACTGTAGCCAGGACCAGGAGCGCAAACAGAAAACATGTGCGGCGATGAAACATGTTGGAGAGATTGATCTGCTTGTTTCGGATGATTTGATGCTTTTGGTTTGGATTGGAGAGAGGCTTTGTGGTGCGAGAGACGCTGAAGGACAAAGTAACTGGTTCGGGCAGGTCTTATATAGACGCAGAGCTGTCCATGAAGTTCAGGGATGAGACAATTCCTCTCGTTTGATTTGCTAAGAAGAAGCCTAGGCTGATGCAAGCTTAGGGGTTTATTTCACAGCTGTAGACAACTTGTCAGTGTTCACTAAACGCGGAAGTATTTCAGGGGGGGCTGTTTGTGATAAGAAAAGAATACTTCTTCGATAGATCATATCTGCGAGGCGTGTTGAATGGTGGATAATATTTCATCTCCCTCAACTATCTTACTGTTTACCACAAGCGGAAGTGGCTCCCACCTTCTGGATGAGATGCAAAGGTTTGTTAGAATTGAAAGATGTAGGTTTCCATCAAACGACGTGTCCTTCTCACCGGCATTTGGGTGGAGAGAGGGCTCAACCCTAAAAAGGTTATACTATTGAGAGGTTGATATGTTTCTCTGTAGTTAATCTGCATTGTCATTATTTTCTAAAACGTAGATTCCTACTATGGTTTGCCACTCTTGTAAGAAGTTAAAGGCGAAAGAAAATATTGCTCACCACTAGAGTGTAGTGGTTTCCCGAAACGGCGGCGGTATCGTTGAACAGGATTAAAATTTAATACATGAATTTACTGGGGAATGAAGTACAGAGCTGCAGTTGTGGGCTGGAAGTGGGTAGGGTCGATTTTGAGAAATGGCCAATCATTGTAATCTGTGATATCGGATGTCCAGGGTCTCATCCAAAATGCCCCCAGATATTGTGCAGATGCTACCCTAATTCAAAGAAAATGGAACTATCTAACAGTTAAGGTCTCTATAGAAGGCATATGCAGACGAGAAACATGATCCCAACAGAAATTGCTTCCTCGCAGATGGTTCAACCACGTCTCGATGGTCGACATACAAACGGAGATGGAGACGACCTTTCTCCACAGACCAGGACACATACCAAAGCACGACAAATGACCGAAGTAATGTCTGCCATCGAATAAAAGGAAAGTATTGCTTTGGACACAAATGATAATGGCCAACGATGCAAGTGTAGAAGAAAAAAAGATACCATTGATTTCGATACGATTAGATCCGAATCGGTCTGTTCGTCCCGCAGGCTCTTGTACACCGGGAACAGGATTTAGTCTGGTGGAAAATATAATGTGGACACGGTATTAGAGTAGGCTATGGTAAATTGAGTGTCCGAGATCTTGAGCGAAGAGGAAATACTATATGCCACAGCATTCCCGTACGCAGAACAAATGGTATGGGTTTATTTTCAATTAACTCTAGGCATTTCTACGCTTCACTGCTGTCCGAAGAGTTGGAAT